CGCCCTGCCCTTCGGGCTCCGGCTCCGATACCGAAAACACGCGGCCCCAGGAGAACACCTTCCCCAAGGGCGAGCCGGACCTGAAGAAGGAGACCGAAGAGGACAAGTTCCCCGTGTGCATCCGGGAGGCCGTCAGCCAGGTGCTCAAGGGCTACGACTGGACGCTGGTGCCCATGCCCGTGCGCGTCAACGGCTCCAGCAAGAACAAGCCGCACGTCAAGCGGCCCATGAACGCCTTCATGGTGTGGGCGCAGGCGGCGCGCAGGAAGCTCGCGGACCAGTACCCGCACCTGCACAACGCCGAGCTCAGCAAGACGCTGGGCAAGCTCTGGAGGTGAGCGCACCCGCCGCCCGCCGGGACCTCCCGCGGGCCCTCCAGCTGCGGGGGGTACAGGCCGGACGGGCGCTCTTTGGGCCCTTCTCCGGGGACAGCCATCGCCTGATGGGGCTGGAAGGCCCCCCACACGTACCCCTTTGGGGTGCTGCTGGCTCAGAACTCCTGGGGCCTAGGTTGGCTCCCACCCGGGGCAGCGGGCAGAAAGGCGCCCCCTCGTGGTTGGAATTCCGTCGGTGGCAGGCGGTGGGCTTCTTCCTGGGGGAGCGGAGCCTGGAGGGAGGACAAGCTGGCGGGCCGGGCTCACCCGCAGGCCTTCACCAACCGCTTCCCCGCAGGCACGGGCTCTCCGCGGTGCCGCTGCCACCAGCTGGTGGTGGGGGCCGCTGGGGAGACGCTTGGCAAATAACTGAGGGCCTGGCTGGAGAGGCAAGGAAACTGAGGCAGCCTGACCCTGAGGTGGTGAGAGTTCAAGGAAAGCAAGCAATTTAGCCAGGAGTCTTTGCAAGAGTGAGGAATGGAGAACTGCTGAGGGGCAAATCCGTGCGGGCAGCATCCTGTCCTACCCCAGCCGCCTTCACTGTGCCTTCCTGACCCCACCCTCCTTCCGTCTGGGGGCTTCTTCATCCGAGGGGGGAAGGGGACACACAGAAAGAAGCCGCCACCTCCCAAAGCTGCCAGGCTTGTCTCTCTC